TGGGGAGGAAGATGGGCCAATCCTGGAGTCTGGGAAAGGCTTTGATGAAGGCTCTGTGTCAGAGGCAGAGAGGGGGCCAGGGCTGTGGGCCAGCTATCAGCTGCCTTCGGAGTCAGACATCAGTGAGGCAGAAGAACAGCTGGAGCCTGTTCCCAGTATGCGCAAGCGCAGCGCTGCCAGACGAAGGGAACAGCTAAAGAACAGGGGTCCACTTGGGAGTAAGGTCACAGGTAGATGGTGAATGGCCCCTCCCAGAGGGAATAAAAGGGGAGCGAAAGGGGAGTGGAGTTTGCAGGAGACAATTAGTTCATTCCTGCATTCTTGCCAAGTATTGTGGCGTCTGAAAGATATCGGCCTGGCCACTCTCCAAGCCTGTTAAAGGTCAATAATTGTGCACTATCTTGAAAGACTGCGGGAGAGAAAAGAATTTGCTGGAGAGGAATTCACTGTAAACTAAATAAAAGAGGTTTATCGGGACGAGGACTCGGCTTCATGCTACTGGGGAAGCTGAGATCAGAGCAGGTAGTTTAGTTCTAAACCTCTAGTAAGGACTATAGTAGTCTTGTGTGTATATAACAATGCTTAGAACAAGGAAAGGGATAAAAATAAAGACACGTAAGAATAATTTTTTTGTCAGAATAAAAATGTAGCTTGCAGAAGGCATCCTTGGTTCAAACAAGGATTCCTCCAAAGCTTGATTTCCAAATTAGGAGAAGAAAGCCCATTTCCTATCTTAGATCCACATTTCTGAGTTTTGTGCATTCCTGGCTATGCTTTGTTTAAAGAGATTGTGACAATCTGTCTTTAATGCCCAGGATCCCGCTGCTTTTTTTCTGCGCCAATTGTTTTTAAGTTTCTCGTCCTGCCCTTCTGTCCGTCCTTGCAGGTTCTACAAGCACCTGGACCGCGGCTACAATTCCTGCGCCAGGACGGACCTGTACTTCATGCCGCTGGCCGGCTCCAAGCTGGCAAAGAAGCGAGAAGAGGCAATCGAGAGAGCCAAGCGGGAAGCAGAGCAGAAAGCGAGAGAAGAGAGGGAACGGGAAAAAGAGAAGGAGAAGGAGAGGGAACGAGAACGGGAGCGCGAGAGGGAGGCCGAGAGGGTGGCGGTGAGTTTTTGTCTTGTCTGCGAAAGTGGGGCGGAGGGGGACTGGATCGGACCCCAAAAGGAAGAGAGACCCACAATTTCCAAAGTGCTCACTTGTTAATTGTCCTCACTGTTAGGAAGTTTCTCCTTAGTTCTAAGTTGCTTCTCTCCTTGCTTAGTTTCCATCCGTTGTTTCTTCTTCCTTCCTTCTTTGGAAAGTAGGTTGACACCCCCCCCCCTTTAAATATTGGAAGACTGCTATCATGTTCATGTTTTCCCTAGTCCTTTTTTGGTCCAGACTAGACTTACCCAAGGGGACACGGGGGCTCAGTGGCTAAGACGCTGAGCTTGTCGATCAGAAAGGTCGGCAGTTTGGAGGTTCGAATCCCCAGCGCCGCATAACGGACTGAGCTCCCGTCACTTGTCCCAGCTTCTGCCAACCTAGCAGTTCGAAAGCATGTTTAAAAAATGCAAGTAGAAAAATAGGGACCACCTTTGGTGGGAATGTGACAGCGTTTGATGCTCCTTCAGGAGTTGTGTCATGCCGGCCACATGACCAAGGAGACATCTTTGGACAGCGCTGGCTCTTCGGCTTTGAAACAGAGATGAGCACCTCCCCCTAGAGTCGGGAACGACTGGCACATATGTGCGAGGGGAACCTTTACCTTTAGACATACCCAATTCCTGCAACCATTCTCCATATCTTGTTGTCTCCACGCCTTTAATCATGTTAGTTGCTCGCAGTCGAAATCTCCCATGGAAGAATTCGGAGAGTAGGAAACTTTTGGGCTGGGGTTTTCTTTGGAATTTGCCCTGAGACCCTCTCTCTTTTCTCCCACAGAAAGCGTCCAGTTCCTCCCACGACAGTCGTCTCGGAGAATCTCAGCTGAGCGGCCCAGCACACATGAGGCCGTCTTTCGAACCGCCCCCCACTACCATCGCAGCTGTGCCCCCTTACATCGGTCCGGACACCCCGGCCCTACGGACGCTGAGCGAGTATGCGCGTCCCCACGTCATGTCCCCCACCAACCGGAACCACCCTTTCTTCGTTCCCCTCAATCCCGGCGACCCGCTCTTGGCCTACCACATGCCGGGCCTCTACAACGTGGACCCCACCCTCCGGGAGCGGGAGCTGCGGGAACGGGAGCTGCGGGAACGGGAGATCAGGGAGCGGGAACTGCGGGAAAGGATGAAGCCGGGTTTCGAGGTGAAGCCTCCCGAACTGGACGCCCTTCACCCGGCCACCAACCCCATGGAGCACTTTGCCCGTCACGGGGCCCTCACCCTCCCCCCGACCGCAGGCCCTCACCCCTTCGCTTCTTTCCACCCTGGGCTTAACCCTCTGGAGAGGGAGAGACTCGCTTTAGCCGGCCCGCAGTTACGGCCCGAAATGAGCTACCCGGACAGACTGGCTGCCGAGAGGATCCACGCTGAGCGAATGGCGTCCCTCACCAACGATCCCTTGGCCCGGCTCCAGATGTTCAACGTGACGCCCCACCACCACCAACATTCCCACATCCATTCACATCTGCATCTCCACCAACAGGACCCACTACATCAAGGTGAGACCCTAGCGATCTCCATCATCCCTTTGCTGAGTGGGCAAGGAGGTATCCTCGGATGGGCACAGAACTGGCGCATCGGGATTGAATTGGGTTGCCAGGACTCTCGCAGCCTGAGACTGGCGCAGTTCCTCCTCGACTTTCAGAGTTAACAACGGCATTGAAAAAAACAGAGCCGTCATTCACACAACCGTTGCAGCATCCCCATGGCCACGTGATCAGAGTCCAGCCGCTTGGCAACTGGCTCATATTTATGACGGTCGCAGTGCCCCGGAGTCACACGATCCCCTCTTGCGATCTCCTTCTGACAGGCACTGTAGATGGAGAAGCCAGATTTGCTTAGCAATCGTGCTACCAACTTAGCAACTGCAGTGATTCCCTTAACAACTGCGGCAAGAAAGTTCGTAAAATGAGGCAAAACTCACTGAGGGCTTTTGGGTGGCTCAATTGTGGCCGTAAATCGAGTACCACCCATGTTTAAGGGAATCCCTTTCAGATTTTCCTTCTCAGGAACCATTCCAGGAGACATTCTCCTAGCTCAGTGTTTCTCAACCTTGTCAACTTGAAGATGTCTGGACTTCAACTCCCAGAATTCCCCAGCCAGCGAATGCTGGCTGGGGAATTCTGGGAGTTGAAATCCAGACATCTTCAAGTTGACAAGGTTGAGAAACACTGCTTTAAATGTTATAATGAAGTGTTTATTTAGAGCTTGGATGGAAGCTTCCAGCTACAGCTGCTGCTTCCAAGCCTGTCAGCTGCCTGATTTCCCCTTTTAAGTTTC